TTGTTGTTGTTGTTGTTGTTGTTGTTGTTGTTGTTGAATCGTATGACTTCTTTGTATATTTTGGAAATTAGGCCCTTATCAGAAGTGTTGCTTGCAAATATATTTTCCCATTCGGATGATTGTCTCTTTACCTTGTTGACGGTTTCTTTTGCTGAGCAGAAGCTTTCTAGTTTGATGTAGTCTCATTCATTTATTTTTGCTTTTACTTCCCTTGCCTTTGAGGTCAAATTCATAAAATCCTCTTTAAGGCCCAGGTCCTTGAGTTTCGTTCCTATGTTTTCTTTTATGCATTTTATTGTTTCAGGTCTTATATTCAGGTCCTTAATCTATTTTGAGTTAATTTTAGTGTGTGGTGATAGACAACAGTCTAGTTTCATTCTTTTACAGGTGGCTTTCCAGTTTTCCCAGCACCACTTATTGAAGAGGCTTTCCTTTCTATACTGTATATTTTTGGCATTTTTGTCAAAAATTATTTGCCCATATAAATATGGGTTTATTTCTGGACTCTCAATTCTGTCCCACTGGTCTATGTGTCTGCTTTCTGCCAGTACCATGCCGTTTTGATTACTGTCGCTTTATAGTATAATTTGAAGTCAGGCAGAGTGGTGCCTCCAGCCTCATTCTTTTTTCTCAGGGTAGCTTTGGCAATTCGGGGTCTTTTGTGCTTCCATACAAATCTGATGATTTTTTGTGTGGACACATTTTTGATGGTCACAAATGAGGGGTGAGGGTGTTGCTGACATGTAGTGGCTAGAGGCCAGAGATGCTGATAGCATTCTACAGTGTACAAAACAGCCTGCATAACAATGAATTATCTGGCTCAAATGTCAAGAGTGTTGAGCATAGTATGCCCCACACCGGTAAAACAAGACCCTCTAGTTCTTCTCTTTTCATTAATTGTTGCATGGTTTCTATAGGAAATATAGTGTTTTTTTTCTTATAAATTTAGAGAATCTCGTTTTTTTTCCTTATAAAATTTCTAAGGAAGAAATAGCCAACTTTCAAAGTATTTCTGATGGAGCAAATTTGTCAGGCAGGTTCTGCCTGCATCCCTGAGGAATGTCTCTTAACATCCTCTTGCCCTGGGGAAGTGGGGAAGCTGTCATAATCTCTCTCCTGCCTCCTTCTTTCAGCCCTGTTTTGCCTGGGACCGTTCTGCTTTCAGTAAAGGCATGTATATTAAAAAGAAAATGACCATTTGCAAAGCTACCTGAAAGATTATTGCACTTTGATCAGGTCCGTTGGTAATTTTGGATGTATTCTGGCAGCGATGCAGGCGTTTGGTTGTGATTATTCCCTTCCAGTGCTCCCGTTGGGAGGAATGGTTAACTCTTTAGCACCACCATGTTCCTCATGTCTGCTCCCCAGGGAGGTGGAACTTTGAGTTTCCATAAATTCATTTTTGCTTATAAACATTCTTTAGGTAAGTATTTAGTCATACTTACCAGTGTTTTCCTTAAGGTTACCAGTGGGATGTGATCCCCACCCCTTCCTCATGCCGATGGTGTCTCTGCTGCCTTTCATCCCTTCTCCCCGCTTTGTTGCTTGTAGCAGTTTCAGTTTTTGGTGGCACACCACATAAATGAGCTGCTGCTGACTTAGGCTAAATGCAGTGCAGTAAAGGCTATTTGGGGCTTTTAGATTGGCAAGAATTCACTGGTTCACTTTGGAAAGGGAGCACTGGCCAGAGCAACTCCTCTGGCCCTGCCTCTTACAGCTATGTATGAACTTCACCCTGTGACAGCTGACTTAATCAAGGTTCCAGGGCTGGAGAGTGAGCCTTAGGCTGGACTACAGTGGGGAGAGAGAAGATCTGGAACTAGCCTTCTGTTGTGCAGGGAGTAGCAGTGTCTCAAAAGTTGAAAGGAAGCATGAATAGTGAGCAGGGCAAAAAAAAATGGCAGTTGTCCACTATGTTAGTGCTTAGGGGATTCTCCTTGCTCCCCAGACTGGAGACTCCCTGCTCGCCTTGCTGAAACTGCCTCTTCAAAACACATCCGTCAGCCTGACCCCTTACCCCCACACAGCCAGGGCCAGCTCATTGTTAGGGCAGCTTGCAGCTTGAGAGATGTGCTTCTCGCACCCAAACTGGGCGTTTAGGTTCAAGTTTTCCCATTGGGACATGGTTAGAAATAGCAGTTAAATTTTATAGTAAGTGAAACCTTGATTTTTATAGAATTACATAATGAATACTTTACTTCTAAGCAAATGTATTTAAAATGTCTTCGAGTTATTCTAGATATTGGAAAGAAGGTTTACATCTCAAGCTTTTTTATTTTTAGTTTTTGTATTACAGGTTTTCCTGCTCTTTGTAAAAGAGTGTACTAAACATCATTTAGCCTTTTTGCGACAATTAGAAATGGTAATTGCAAACCTTGCGTTAATGTATGGACTGTATTTGTATTTTACTGACAGTGAATATTTTCTTTAATTTCCAGTTTGGGGCAATGTTCTTGATAAACAAAGTTGATAGGTAACTGGATTCCTTAATGAAAATAACCATGTATCAGCTACAGTTCATATCAGTCAGCTTTTATGAGTTATCCAAGAAACCTAACCACATTCCTACTATTTCTATGGGAAAAGAAATTCAGATTTTTAAAATAACAGAAAATAAGCCCCTTTATAAGTTCAGGGCTGCTTTCATCTGTCTTTTTATAATCTCTGTGGGATGTATTTGTAAATCATGAAGGGATACTCTTTTATTTCACTCACATTTCATAATATTGTCAGAATGTAAAAAATATTGAAGCTTTGGGTGAAAATGTACCTGCAAAAATATTTTTTGGCTAGTGAGGGTAGTTTTTCCTTCTGACCTGTATGTTGAAACATTATTTGAAATTAGTTAAAATGGATGAAATGACATTAACCAGCATTTCTTCTTAGTGTGTGACAAGGTTTTTTTTTTTTCTCATATTAAGAAACTCTCAAATGTGTCCATAATGCAGAATTTACTTCTAAGTAAATAGAGATTTTTCTTCTGTTGTTGCAGGCCGGAGCCTCAGCAGAAAGCTCCCTTAGTTCCTCCACCGCCACCTCCACCACCGCCGCCACCTCTGCCAGACCCAGCACCCCCAGAGCCAGAGGAGGAGATCCTGGGTTCAGACGATGAGGAGCAGGAGGACCCCGCGGACTACTGCAAAGGTGCTTTGCTCGCTTTTTCCACTGAGCCCATCCCATGATTTGTTGGGGCAGCGGACAAGAGAAGTTAATGATGCAGACAGCTTGGTCTTTATTACATTAGCCTCATGGTGTCATTATCATTTTAAATTCTTAGATCATTAAATATAGAATGATACCAGAAAATGTAAGCAATATCAGAAGGAAAATTATACGAGAGAAAATATATACATATGTGCACACATACTCAGGGTGCTTTCTAGAGGATTTAAATCTGCTAATTGAATTAACGATGGTATAAAAGAGCAGGGCAATTAAAGATAAAAGCATAATACCCATCCAAGAAGAGCACAGAGATTAGCAGGTACCAGGTGTCTGAGAGGAGCCAGTTTTACTGTCGTTCACTGCATTTGGCTTTAAGTTTTCTAACCCCCTAAGTCTAACAAGGAACTGCTCCTTACTCTGCATAGCATTAAATTACACAGTATTCATTGTCTGTGGAAGGAAAGCCTGCCACTTCGTTTATAGAGACAAACTTTTTCCTAGCATTGTACTCAACAAAAAAGACATTCTGTGGGTTCTGCTATTGTGCAGCGTAGTGGATTATGTTTTCAACTATGACTTCACAGAAGACAGAAATTATTCATTTGGAATGCTCTTGTACTGAGGCTTCATAAAGACCAGGAGCATATAGTTAAACTCTTAAAAGGGAAGCATGTCGTGTGGTGAAAATTGAGAACAATATAATTCAGATTCCATACTTTGTATAAACTAGGCTATGAGAATCAGGAAGGAAAGGGAAGTTGCTGTGTCCATTTGATTGCCTTTGTTACTTAACTCTTACTCATTTGGACTTTAATTTCCTCTAATAGAAAATTATTACCATCTGGAATTCTGAGCTTCAGAACAGTCGACAAGACTTTATTTGCCATGTACTGGTTAAGGAAAATGTAAGTCAGATTCTATACAGCATAAGAATAGATGGCAGAAGATGTACACATTCAGGTCAGAAAGCGTTAATGAATCTTTGGCTCTATAGTATCTTAGTGTGAATTTATCTAGTGATTGCGGTCACCATTTGTGTGTTGGTTAAGGAACAATGTACTTTTTCTTTACCTGTTAAGAGGAAGAGAAGTTTACTTGCTAGGAAAGTTTAAGAACTAATCTTCCTCTCTAACCGGACTGTTCCATAGGTGTGGGTTTCTAAACATAGACTCAATATTTTTCTTAGCAAAGGGATTGTGGGTCCTTAGCATTTATATGAGTAGTGATTGTGACCCTAAAGGTCTATGCGATCTAATATGGAAAAGAAGGTACAGAGATAGTTTGAAAAGGTGAAAAGATGTTTTTCATCCTTCCTCTTGACCTACATTTCTTGGTTCAGAAATGAAGTTGTTTGTAGAGGTGTAGACAGTTGTCTTTTGATTTTGCTGCTTAGATGGAGCATTAGGGTGGCCTGTAGGAATGCTCTCTTCAGCACACAGGCTCCTTCATGTTGGAATGAGAACTGTTTGCCTCACATTTGGGTCAAGAGATGTATTCAGTACTTTCATCCCTTTACTACCTCTGCGAATCAGCACTGTGGACATTCCAGACTGAAATATAGGGCTATGAATGAAGGGTTTCATAGTCAAGGTTGATTCTAGGTAATGTTCACTGAACTCTAAATATCTTTATTAAAGTTAGCCTCACTAAGACATGTTAGAGGTGATAAGGTTTTCTTACACACACACCTGTCTACCTACACAGCCACAGACTTGATCACTCACTCATTCTTATCTCACTTATGTTAGTAACTTATAACTCGAATGCATTGCATGTGACAGATGCCTTTCTCTGAATTTTGTGGTGTAGACCGTAACCATTTATTTAAGTTACAGACATGATGTTTTATTCATTCTTGTGTACTTTAGTTTATTTTGCCTATAATCAAGTACATTCTCCTATGTAACCATAATATAACCATATCAGGAAGTTAGCATTGATATATTTCTACCATTTAATCCTCAGAGTCCATTCAGGTTTTGCCAGTTGCCCAATATTGTCCTTTATACAAAACCAATTCATTACAGAATCACATTACATTTTGTTTTCTTGTTTCTTTAATCAGTTCCTTAGTCTTTCCTTGGCTTTCATGACTGACATTTTGAACATTGTGGGCCAGTTATTTTGTACAATGTTTCTCAATTTGGAATATCAAAAAGAAATTCTATCAGATAGTGCATGGTTTTGATTACACCATTACAGTTGATGTCAATCACATGTTTCAGATGGTGTCTTCCAGATATCTAAAGTTACTCACCTCCCCACTCCCCACCCTGTACATTGTTGAGAGTTACTTTCAGACTATGTAAATATTCTTTCATCAATGAAGTTACTTCCTTTTTCGATCTGTCCCTCCCATCCATTCGTCTATCTGTCCATCTGTCTTTCTTTCTCGGATAGAATCGGATTTCCCTTTTATTCAGTGAGTTATAATCTGTTGCTCTCTATATTGGTTTCGATGCTTGGGTTATCCCACAATTTGGTAATTAGGGGCCCCTTAAGGTGGGTTCTGGGTCTTTTTGAAATGTCCTTATCATTCTTTGAACACTTTCTTACTTTCAGGTACAATCTCGAATTTTCTCAATTCCAGCCCTGGAATCAGCTCTTTCCACATAGAGCCCTGGTTCATTTTATTGGAGAATAATATTTAGAAAGCAAAATCTGGGCATTAGATGTGATGATTACCGTTGAGGTGTTTCATTGCTTGTAGATGTCTTAGCACAGAGCCAAATGTAATGTGATTCTGTAATGAATTTCCTTTATGTTTATATATACTTCTCATTTATATTTATTTCTCTTTTTATTTATGTATATATTAAAATCTATGAGCCTAATCTGTTGTCTCTGATTTCACTCTAATACCAGAAGATTTAGCCCAGTTTTTTCCCTTTCTATATTTTTAGTTTCTTTCTTTGACAGTAAGAGATGAGGCTTTCATTATCCTCATTTTATTTACTCACTCGATTAATTTCTTTGTGTGTGATAAGTTACCCATTGCTCTCACTGCCATTTTGGGTATCTCTTCCCTTTCTTCCTCACCAAGCTTTGCTCAGACATACTTTGTTGCTTGGCCCTACATAATGGCCATGGACTGAATGTTCAGGAAGGGGCAAAGGGCAGCATGACTTTCACGGCTTAGGGTTATAGTTTACTTGGTCTGTTGGGTGTCTTGTATGTCTTATCTGTTTTGTCCGTCACTTCACCTGGTTGTCTTGTTTTCTTTGACTTCATTCCTGTTGAACTTCTGCCCTGCCTGCTTTTTCTCAGTACTCCCAAAGTAAAAATAAAGCAATACACCACGTATTTTATCTCTTTATAAAAGAAATATTTGTTCATCTTAAGAAATATAGAAACATTGGTGGGTGGAGTATGGAATTCTAGCCCCAGCAATATAGCTGCAGAAAGCATTTAGGACACTGCCATTCTGAATCATTTATGACCAACCAAATTGCATCTTTTTACCTTTGTACCTCTTTACCTGTACAAGTCTTTTCCCTTTCAAACTTGTGAAACCTCAGCTGTTTTAACAAAAAGGCCACTATTTAATGTTCTACAGTCGTTGTTCCTTTCTACTTGCCTTGGCATTCTTTTTGGAGTGGGACTCTTCCTTTCTTCATGAGTAGCTTGCCCATCTTTATAGCTCCCCCACCTAATCTAAGAGGATTATGGACTTTGGTGTCTGAGAGATCTTGGTCCCAACTCTATCTTTGGACAGGTTCCTTTCCCTCTATGCTTTAGTTTCTTCATCTATGATATGAGACTTCTCTATATAATAGATAATAACATCTTACCACCTAAAATTTTATGAGCAATAAAATGAGGCAAATATATGAAGTGTGTGGCATCCTACCTGACACATAGACGATTTTTAAGAAATATGAATTTCACTTTCTTCTTTCCTTTTGGTGCTATCATCCTCCTCTCAAGTGTGTTCCCATCTGTACTTTCTTGCCACACCCATTCGTGCTGGTTCCCTTAGTGGTCTAATTGCCTCACTTGTGGTGAGTTTGTTTCCGTATCCTCTGGAGAGAGGGCTGTCATCATTGCTTCTCTCTCTCTTCCTGTCTTATGTCGGTGTCACCTCTGGTCAGTCCTCTGGGGCAAGAATTTAGCAGCAAGCTTGCGGTTTATTCAGACTTCTACTTCCAAGCCCAGGGGATACAAGGGTCAGGCACAGAGTCAGCCGGTAAACAAAACACTTTTGGGAGGCCCTCGTGTAATGCCTGCTCACTCATGAGTTCAGCATAAAGCCTCTTCATCAGGGCAAAACCAATTCCTTTGGGGAGATTTTAGTGGAATATGGGTTTTCAGAATGTGACCTTTGTAACACCTGCATTAGAATCACTAGGGGTGCCTGGTAATTGTTCCTTGGATGCACTGTAAATCCTGACTTGGAATCCCTGGGGGTAAGACCTAGACTCCAAATATTTACCAAGTTCATTAGGTGATATCTCTGCACATCGATGTCTAAGGCCTGTACTATTTCTCTAAAACTCGGGGGAAGTGAGCTTTCCCTCCACTTCTCACTGTGTGACTGATTTACTGTGTATGGAGAATTACTGCTTTGACCTACCTTATGTTCCAAAAAATTTCCAGAACCTTCAGCATGTATTTGCTACAAGGAGCAATAAATGATGACAGCAGGGACTTTGCTTTGTTACATCATGCCGCCTGTGCTGACGGGCTTCTTAGAGATCCTGTTTAGTGGCTTTCCTAAATCATTCTTAGATATGTTGGCACCTTGTACAGTTTCTTCACTTGGATTATTTCTGGAGACATCACTTTCAACATGGTTGTGGTCTGACTTGGTACTAAAGCATGTGTCATTTCCTTAAAAGGTCTTTGAATCCCTAATCACATCTTAATTAGGCTCCTCTCTTTATCACTCACAATAGTATCATCTACCACAGCACCCCCTCCCCAGCAGTCATCATTCTGTGTAATTATACATTTATTTTTGTGTTTATTTGCGATCTCCTC